TTCCATCTTATTTGGTGAAAATTCTCTAGCCCAAGCATGTTGGTATGAAGCTTTTTGGAGTTCCAAGGTCCTCAGGCAATTAGACTTCTCCATGTGGGTGAGGAGCCACCCACTTTTGTTTCTTGTTTTCTTACCAAAGCTTGAAGAGGAAAGAATAGGTAAGGGTGCTAGTCAAAAAGGGTGATAAGCACATGGGTTTATTTGGTTTTAATGGTTTTGACAGATATGCTGGATATTTTCTACGATGCTGGGCTGGGCTATTGGTATTTTGTTTTGTTGATGCCCAAAAATCCAGAGTTGTGCCCAAATAAATTCTTAGCCCAACATAATACCTTATTAAGAAAAAGACTCGGTTCGGAGCATGCAAAATTCCTCATTCATGCTTGCACAAGTCATGACCACATGTCATGCCAAATAAATATGCAATCTCTCATGCTAAGAGTTGAAATAAGCACTAACTCTACGAGCCCATGCTAATTACCTCGTCAAGCATCATGCCGCTATTCAAGGACGATAAAATTAAAACACGCCGATGGACATGCCATGCTAAGCAGGAAATTATTATTTCACACCCAATCACGCTACAAGTTTAAGTGGGCCCAAGCCACACAAATGCCCAGGGCTTGCTTGAGTAGGTTGTGGTATGGATGGTAATAAGCTTTCATGAGACCCATTGATGAGCCAAGAAATGGAAGTTTTGGGCTGCTTGGGAGCCCCAAAACTCAAGCTTATTTCTTGAGCCCAAACACATGGGCAGAGAGAGAGAGAGAGAGAGAGAGAGAGAGAGAGAGAGAGAGAACATAATCCAATGCCTTAGAAAGAATACAATAGCTTGTTTAGAAAACCTTATGTTAATTAGAGCACCCAAACACTTTATCAAAAACACTTCCAGCAGCTTGACGAAAACCATTAGATGCTGGAGATAACACGCTTACAAGCCCAGCCCAAAGCCTTATAAAAATTCTGGCATCGTGCTCCATCCTTGCTAGGATTTCAAGACGGTCAAACAAGGAACCATGGCAGGAACCAGTGGAAATTCATGTGTGAGAGACGAATACCCATCGGACAAAGAACTTATCCCATCTCTTTTTCCTCTGCAAGCTCCATCTTGAAAACCATGAGAGAAAGCAGGTGGCGTCTCCCCCCTTATGAGAAGGTCCAGCTGCGTCAAACTATTGCAACCACAAAGGGTTCCTTACCCATGCTCCTTGGATAGGAGAATTTCACCAAATTAGATCAAGTAG